ATTTAACATGCCAAGAATTTGAACTAAATATGGGGAACGTACGCGTATTTATTATGTGCCCGTATATTCAACATTATGCCAGAATCCCTATTTGCTGCCAGATCAAGACAAAAAACTTGAAAAAGCCCTACGGAATTTAGACCAGTGATGTTGGTTACTCTTCTCCCTCTTATTGTTTGTTTTTTTTTCCTCAGGACAGTGCGTATTGTTCTGCAGTGTGTTCTGCGGCTTACACCGGCTCGTCATTGTACTTTTTGCAAATGGATGTATTGGAAATAAAACTATTCTATTCTATGTTATGCTTTCTGATAAGTAAAACTAGGATATCGAAATAAACATGTTAATTTTATTGACCTTGATGTAGAATACCCGAGACTGTGGTAAAAGCTCGTAAACCAAGTCGAAAAAAAAAAGACAAGGGAAAAGAACGTCTCAAACTCAGCTACTGCGTTTATTTCCTCAATGCCTCATATGTCCACAACCTAATCACCGACCACCGACGTCACAAAGTCAACCTTTGTTATGCAATCCTACCCACCCTGGCCTTCACCTCAGCCGTAAAGGGTGACCTCAATCCCAAACTGAAAACTCCGAACCCTTAACAAACAAAAAAAAAAAAAAAAAAAAAAACACCAACTCAATTCCTTTTCAGCCAGAGTCTGGAAGGGCTGTGCTTTATCTAAACGAGAACTGATATGTCCTCCAAGTGAACCCCTGCCCGCAAAATGACCCATTGCACATGTACTTACAAAAAAAAAAAAAAAAAAAGATATGGACAAAATCATTACCGTTTAAAAAACTCCTTGGAACTACTTGCGAGTTGCATTGAAACATGGCTGATACAGTTACCGATGGATTTGATACGAACTGTCTCTCTTATGAGCCTCGTAGTGTTGTTGCGCTCTCTGTGCACAACGTCAGTTTGCGAGCAAAGTGCCGTACAATCGTTGCACTCACTAATGTGTTTAGCAATCTCTGAATTGGGTGAGTTTATTTTTACATTTCTTTTGTGCTCTACCAATCTATCATTTACACACCTTGCCGTTTGACCCACATACTTGAAACCACATTCCAGTGGTATTTCATAGACCATCCCTTCCTTGCAGTCAACCGACTTATCACGGTGCGCTTTCTGACACACTTTCTGACTCGTCTGAAACGGTGTCAAACGGTTTAGTTTAAAGTCGGACCTAAAAGCTACATCTATCCCAAATTTCTTTGAGCATGCTTTAAGGTTGTGAGAAATTGCGTTAAAATACGGAATAACCGCAAAATGCTTTTTCGCTTCCTTTTCTGGTCATTGTTTAGCCTTTTGCTGCAATTCCAATAGTCTTTTTATGAACTCACTGTCATAGCCTGCATCTTCTAACCTTGACCACTGCCTTTCTACCGCACAACCCATAAAATGGGCACACGACTTGTCCAGAGCGTTGCTGATTAGAGATTTGACCACATCTGCTTTTAATGGTTTAGCATGAGAACTTTTCCTACTCAAAACAGGTTTTGTGGCCATTTTTCCGTACTCCCAACATAAACCCCCCTCCACGTAAATGCGTAGGTCCAAAAACTGTAGAATACCATTGCCCGCCTTTTCTAAGCTGAACGGCGCCGCTCCCCTCACTTTCGTTCGAGTACATCCTCTACGCGAAATGTGCAGATCAATATGCCATTGATATACCTCCATACAAAGCCCGTGCTTGAGGAAATACAATTCAATTTATCCGTTTTTGCTTTCTGCTAGCATTGGAGCAACCGATGAACCTGTACATACGCCATCTTCTTGTACAAATTTGCGTTCATTGTACTCGACTACCGCTGCCTGGAAATAGATCCAGAATGGACAGAAACCCATCCACCGTTAATCATAAGTTGGATTGAAAATGAACCACATTTACTTGGAAAGACTTACGAACCCTCTGCATTAGACGTGACTTCTCTAGAGAACAATGTCTTTTATGACCATAGAGACTACCAAACTTCTCTTTCCATGAACTCCTTCTAGGATACTGATCAATTCATTCCAATTCTTAAGGCCCAGACTTTTTTCAAGCTGCACAAGACTCAACCCTGGTTGAATAAATCGCGAGATGGTGTGCTGCCACGTTCCGTTCTTATTCACCACTGCACGAAAGGGCACCATGAACTCCTTCTAGGATAGTGATCAATTCATTCGAATTCTTAAGGCCCAGACTTTTTTCAAGCTGCACAAGACTCAACCCTGGTTGAATAAATCGCGAGATGGTGTGCTGCCACGTTCCGGTCTTATTCACCACTACACGAAAGGGCACCATGAACTCGTTCTAGGATACTGATCAATTCATTCAAATTCTTAAGGCCCAGACTTTTTTCAAGCCGCACAAGATTCATCACTGGTTGAATAAATCGCGAGATGGTGGGCTGCCACTGTTCCGTTCTTATTTACCAGTACACGAAAGGGCACCATGAACTCCTTCTAGGATACTGATCAATTCATTCGAATTCTTAAGGCCCAGATTTTTTCAAGCTGCACAAGACTCAACCCTGGTTGAATAAATCGCGAGATGGTGTGCTGCCACGTTCCGGTCTTATTCACCACTACACGAAAGGGCACCATGAACTCCTTCTAGGATACTGATCAATTCATTCAAATTCTTAAGGCCCAGACTTTTTTCAAGCTGCACAAGATTCAACACTGGTTGAATAAATCGCGAGATGGTGGGCTGCCACCGTTCCGTTCTTATTCACCAGTACACGAAAGGGCACCATGAACTCCTTCTAGGATACTGATCAATTCACTCAAATTCTTAAGGGCCAGACTTCTTTCAAGCTGCACAAGACTCACCCCTGGTTGAATAAATCGCGAGATGGTGTGCTGCCAAGTTCCGCTCTTATTCACTACTACACTAAAGGGCACCATGAACTCCTTCTAGGATACTGATCAATTCATTTGAATTCTTAAGGCCCAGACTTTTTCAAGCTGCACAAGACTCAACCCTGGTTAAATAGATCGCGAGATGGTGGGCTGCCACCGTTCCGTTCTTATTCACCAGTACACGAAAGGGCGCCATGAACTCCTTCTAGGATACTGATCAATTCATTCAAATTCTTAAGGGCCAGACTTCTTTCAAGCTGCACAAGACTCAACCCTGGTTGAATAAATCGCGAGATGGTGTGCTGCCAAGTTCCGTTCTTATTCACTACTACACTAAAGGGCACCATGAACTCCTTCTAGGATACTGATCAATTCATTTGAATTCTTAAGGCCCAGACTTTTTTCAAGCTGCACAAGACTCAACCCTGGTTAAATAGACACAAGACTCAACCCTGGTTAAATAGATCGCGAGATGGTGGGCTGCCACCGTTCCGTTCTTATTCACCAGTACACGAAAGGGCGCCATGAACTCCTTCTAGGATACTGATCAATTCATTAAAATTCTTAAGGGCCAGACTTTTTTCAAGCTGCACAAGACTCAACTCTGGTTGAATAAATCGCAAGATGGTGTGCTGCCAAGTTCCGTTCTTATTCACTACTACACTAAAGGGCACCATCAACTCCTTCTAGGATACTGATCAATTCATTCGAATTCTTAAGCCCCAGACTTTTATCAAGCTGCACAAGACTCAACCCTGGTTGAATAAATCGCGAGATGGTGGGCTGCCACCGTTCCGTTCTTATTCACCAGTACACGAAAGGGCACCATGAACTCCTTCTAGGATACTGATCAATTCATTCAAATTCTTAAGGGCCAGACTTTTTTCAAGCTGCACAAGACTCAACCCTGGTTGAATAAATCGCGAGATGGTGTGCTGCCAAGTTCCCTTCTTATTCACTACTACACTAAAGGGCACCATTAAGTCCTTCTAGGATACTGATCAATTCATTAAAATTCTTAAGGGCCAGACTTTTTTCAAGCTGCACAAGACTCAACCCTGGTTGAATAAATCGCGAGATGGTGTGCTGCCACGTTCCGTTCTTATTCACTACTATACGAAAGGGCACCATGAACTCCTTCTAGGATACTGATCAATTCATTCGAATTCTTAAGGGCCAGACTTTTTTCAAGCTGCACAAGACTCAACCCTGGTTGAATAAATCGCGAGATGGTGTGCTGCCAAGTTCCGTTCTTATTCACTACTACACGAAAGGGCACCATGAACTCCTTCTAGGATACTGATCAATTCATTCAAATTTTTAAGGGCCAGACTTTTTTCAAGCTGCACAAGACTCAACCCTGGTTGAATAAATCGCGAGATGTTGTGCTGCCACGTTCCGTTCTTATTCACCACTACACGAAAGGGCACCATGAACTCCTTCTAGGATACTGATCAATTCATTCGAATTCTTAAGGCCCAGACTTTCTTCAAGCTGCACACTATTCATCCCTGGTTGAATAAATTGCGAGATGGTGTGCTGCCACGTTCCGTTGTTATTCACCACTACACGAAAGGGCACCATGAACTCCTTCTAGGATACTGATCAATTCATTCGAATTCTTAAGGCCCAGACTTTTTTCAAGCTGCACAAGACTCAACCCTGGTTGAATAAATCGCGAGATGGTGTGCTGCCAAGTTCCGTTCTTATTCACTACTACACGAAAGGGCACCATGAACTCCATCTAGGATACTGATCAATTCATTCGAATTCTTAAAGGTACAATAAAGACGATTTTATTTATTTTTTTAAATGGTGTTTTTAGGCTTCTTAGGGACCTGGCATACCGCCCAATTTTTTAGACATTTGTGACGCGTATTTCTGTACCTACGAAAGCATTGAAGAAACCGAAACTGAACAACCTGGGTTCTCATTTTTGGGCCTCCAAAAACGGAGGTGACGTAAGGAGTGACGTCACATGTGAATTGTCGGTACCGGTAGCATTTAGGGCATCGAGGTTCTGGTTACCGCGGTGGGTTATAGCAGCGCGATGGCGTGGTCGTTTCGTCGGACCAACATGGACGGCAATGCCGCTCTCGCGCGCGAATTCGGGCTCCCGTTCAGTGACCTGACACCAACAGAGCGGGAGATGCTCCTGAGGACGCGGAACTCTGGAATGCCTCTTTACCAGGACGCCCCAGAATTGCCGCCGACCGAGAGTAATTCGTCGCCGCCCAGCTCGCCTACGCCACCGCAACGCCGCTACGGTAACACAGAATGGTAAGGACGTAGTTTATCTGTTCGTATGTAAACTTCGCTGGGTGTCCCCTTTTTAGATCGTCTTCTAATGGCTTTGAATAATAAGCATAGTTGCCGAATCAACCGGAGCCCGCGGGCATTCTGTTTTTCAGCTGCAATGCTGAAAGCCTCATTGACATGGCAGCGTTTTCTCGCCTCGGCACGTTATGTTTCGACCATGAGTCAAAGCAATGTTCGTTCTTCGTGTTCGCTTGTCAAGCTACACCTTGAATTGGTTGCCTGGCTGAATGGGAAGCATGGATTTCGTGGGAACCCGCGGTTGTAGCTCCCGTAGCTAACGTAATTAAATAAGTTGTTGTGTCAATCAGCCTTCAGTTGGTCCTCTTTGTCATTGAATGTTTTAATAATGGCTCGCGGGTGACATGATTCTGCAGAGCAGATAATGGTACAAGCTCGGTGGCGTAAAATTACCTGAGCAATGGCAACTTTCGTGGTACCTATAGCACCTGCATGAGTGACGAAATGAAGTTAGTTATCTACTGTATACTCAAGCGGTATATACTTTCCCGAATTGTTTTCATGGTTGTATTATTTCAAGAAACTACTCTTTGCTTCCTCTTGTGAACTCACATAGGTACACTCATAAGATCTATAAGAGGAAACACCCAAGCGCGTGCCGAGAAGTCTAGCCAGCGCTGATAGCGGTATCATGCATGGAACGCCTTGATATCGTTATAAACACTCACTAGACCGCGCTGCCCGTACCGAGCAGCACGCGATTGGGTGTTCCCTCTCGTAAATGTTATGACTACATCGTACATACGTCTCAACGACGCACTAATCTCCCCACCCAGGTGCAGCTGCAACCACTGCGTCGTGTTAGATAACGGCACGGAGGCAGAGTGCGTATGCTGCCGTGAAATGGGTTCCGCACTGACCCGCGTTCAGTCAGCTGGATGCATCACAGAGCACCCAGAATTTAGCATGCTCTGCTTGAGCATTCCGGTGCTCCGCCTGCTCTATTTCGAGCTCAGGGGTCACGGACATCCCATGCATGAGGACATCCACAGGTGAGAGGAGTGCTGTTATGGTATTCTTTTGACACTGCATTATTCAAGCAATTGCAGGAAAGGTGCGGGCCTCGAACTTGAGGAGTGTGTTATATAAAATGCGTCTCTGCACCTAATAAATCGTCATTCATGGGCAATTCTGAAATGGAATTTGGTGCTAGCGCTAGGCTATATGCCATAGTAATGTCTTGCATGTACAGTTCTGCAAGATAGTTTGGTAATTGTACTTCAGCGTATTTGTCTTCAGTGGCAAATGCTGTGTAACAGCATCTCAAAAATGAAATGATGTTTTAATTTTTCTAAATCTTGGCTCAAATCTAAGATGTGAGAGCTTCAGTGCCCAGACAACTCACAATATGCTTCATGCACCACCATATGCTCACATTTAGAGTGATTCACAACAAGTGCATCTGACAGAGTTATTGGACATTCACCTTGCATAATGGTTGGAAATAGTAATCTCAAGTATACACCCTTACTAATGTGCTACTGAGCACTCAAGCTTGTTACAATGTTCCACTGTAGGTATGCTGAACTGAAATTTAGCTTTCAGAAAACAGGGCACTAATCATACAGCGATATCTCGGAACAGACGACTACTTTTGAAGTCCGATCGAATTAGGTGTGTGACGTCGCGGTCTTTGCTTCACGTCCTTGCCACATATGCTGCCCATTCTCAGGAAAAGTGAGGAAACAAGGACCACGACGTCGCATGCCTCATTCAATTGCACCCTTTTTATCCTCTTTTCAAGTAAACTCGACCGTACATTTGAGGTATCATGTACATACGAGTGATATTTTGAGTTTTGCGTCAAATGTTCTGTTTTGTGGGATTCGAATTTCGGTTTGACATCCGTCGCAGAGTACATTGAAAATGCATTAGCCACGGCAATTCAAATGTTTATTTCAGGACTTTTTCTTCATTGATAATCTTCCTGGAGGGTGCCTTCTGTATCAAATGATTGAAATATATCTGAAAGCATCATTGCTCAATTCCTGTTATGTGACCTCCTTTTAATGCAGACGGTACCAGTACACGGCCTACAGGACTTTTGTTCGCTGGTTGTGGCGGCGGCTTGGTAGGGGGAACAGGATGATCCTGCCGGCATGTTTGGTTGGCAGGATAAGGGAGGAGTTTCCTTCCGAAACCACAACTGGTTTCAGGTATCCTCGTTACCGCTAAATGGTAAGTTTCAGAATATTTGTAGAGGTTTCTGTCACAAAATAAATTTATGATCTGGATAAACACTGGAAAACAAAACTAGATCCTCTCAGTTCCGGTCACCACCTCTTGTAACTCAAGCATTCACTGGTAATCAAGCAGCATAGGACATTCATTGTGCCTTTCCTAACTCAAATGATCACAATTGTCTACTTAAATGATCCCAGATGTTTACTCCTGCTTTGACTCTAACATGAGTCTGCAGTATTTATAATAAATTAAATTGAATCTGCAGCTTATGACATCTGTTTCGCTGGACACTACTCAGGTGGCAGCTATTACGATACCTGGGCTGCATGTCGAAATTGATGTTTATCACTATTGCTTTGTGCATACATTGGGGTAGGGTACATAAAAATATGGGTTGTACTGCTGTAAAACTCGCAGTTCAATCTGTTTGTTTGTGGTAGTGTGACCTTGTTACAAGCTCCACAGTGATTAGAAAAGAATGAAGATGTTTGCATTGCCCTTTTTAAACATAACATAATATCGCTAGATGCCGAAGTCCGTATTTCCAGTAATATATAAACAATGGGCAAATATGATCAAGAGCAATTCATATATTAATGTGTGACATATGTGGCCCTAATATGTAAAAGAATCAGTTCACGAGTTTCTCTAACACCTTTGAAGTACCATTTATGTTTGTACATATGTAGCAGCCGGCACATAGAAAAGGAAGAACACGCACAAGGTCGGGCTGGAGACAACCTAAGAACGACAGCCCCTTTTGATCACATCCGGGTCTCTAATGACACAACCTAAATTTATCTACAAGTATTTACATATCCGTCCGATCAGATCAAATGCTTCAAAAAAGATCTCGCCGATGCAACTTTCTTTATCTGTCCTAGCCGTAATCATCCTGTCATTGTCGGGGCAGATGCCTCGGATATTGCTGTTGGCCTTTGATTTGTGTGTGCCATGGAGTGTAAGGAGCCTTTGACTCCTTGCACTCCATGGCACACATCAGAGTGCGAACAACTCACCGGTGCCTCACTTAACGTTTTGTGTGGCCAGGCATCAACAAAGATGTAAGAGATTGGGCTTGCGCTTGTCTGCCTTGTCAGCAGTCCAAAATTAACTGCCATGCATCAGTGCCTTACCAGCCTTTTCCAACATCAACGGTGCGCTTTCATGACATACAGCTGACATTGTGGGTCTCCTGCCACCACTCGATTTCAAACACATAGCTATTTACACGCATCGACTGTTTCAGCCGCTGGCCTAGATTTCTGATTCCCATCATCACCGCAGAAACAATTGCAAAGACGTTTGTTGCAGGTTGGATTCGCTGATTTGGTGTGCTGTTATCAGTGACCACGGACTGAGGGCAACAGTTTGAATCTGCTCTGTTTCGGGAGCTCATTAAACTACTTGGATGCTCCCCTATTTTTACAACAGCATACGTCCTTGTGGCTCCTGACATTGTAGAAAGATTCTACTGCACCATTGGTGCTTTTGGGCCCCCCGCATTGCTCACAAAGAAGGCCTCGGTTGCTGTCCTGCATAATTCATTACGCGTGCCTTTTTGCCTACGAGGCGAATTTATCGGCCCTGCTGGTCCAAGTCTCTCTGCCAACCCTGCCAGCTATGTTGCACAGCTCACGACGGCCATGCAAACTCTTCGAGCAACCACTTACTCTCAAAAACAGCTGCGTCAGTTACTGTACATATCTGATGAGCTCAAGCGCTGCGCCCAACATTATGACAGTCCATTCTGGGTTATTGAGCGTCACAACAAATACTTTCTACTTGACGTCAACGAACGAAGAAAAGACACTACATCAACTGATTGCCTGAAGCCAGCCCTTGACGTCAACGGACGAAGAAAAGACACTACATCAATTGGTTGCCTTAAACCAGCCCACCCCAATATTCTTTTTTCTTGCTTTAAGACTGCACAGCATGGTCTTGCAATAACCTCACTTGCATTCATGCCCCCTGTTCCAGCCGCTTCCACGGAAAATGTTCCTAATCACAAGTTACACAGGGCCCCTGACTCTCTGACGTTTCACCACCTGGGCACCTCTACCACTGCACTCTCGGACAGCTTTGTTGCTGGAGGGGGAGTAGTACTTGTAGCAGCCGCCATTTAGAAAAATAAGTGGAGCAGGAGCGAGGCCAAGCTCGAGAGCGAGCTAAGAATGCAGCAGCTTTTGATGTCATTGGACGGATATGTAAATACTTGTAAGTAAACCTTTGGGAGAAAGCACCGTTCTCTTCACCTACTCACACATTTACAAGAACAGTGTCTTAAACAAGCAGCTTGATAATATTCTTACAAGACATTATAAAGAACATATATACATTCTACAATGCTGGACAGCCTACAGAGAAAATCATCTTGCAACTGGTGTGCACAGTATTCCATACATTTCCTATGTAATATACACCTCCATGATCTCAACGAAGGAACGACCTAATGGATTTAGCTAAAATAAGGCAAAAAGTCATTTACAAGATTAAAAAATATGTATACAATGTTCCATGCACCGACTCAGAAGTTAATGCTTCTAGATTAAAATGACAAAAAGAACACGGAAACTTATCTGTGCATGTCGCCGCTGTCACTTGTCTCTTATGCAGAAGTTTTAAGTGTCAGGGAGTGCTGTGGCAGCATCGGCGAGGCTTTGCCATTTTTGTATATGGGCCCAATCTAGCTTATATCGCGACTTTGCCTGCGGTACGGTGCTGACCATCCCGTTGGTCAAAGCTTCCATGATAGTACTGAATACTTGGGTGAACTGTACATGAGTATCGCAGAACTTGGTAATTCATCCTCCTCTGGTTGCCTGCCTCGACTTATGGCCTTGCAAAACGTTTCTTGTGTGCAGCCACAAGCTCCTCCTTGGATGGCCTTGGTCCAGGACTGACAAAGGATGGGGGAACCTTCGGTGGTCTCTCGGCAGGTGCCACTTTGAAAGTCGGGTGTGTCTTGCAGCGCTCCAGAACTTGTTGATGCAGTTTTTCCACATATCCTGGAATTCAGAAAGAGATAGTATTGAACAAGTATGTCTGCTCCTCCCAAAGAGAGTTACATTTATGTCATGGCGCCAAGCTCCGATTTGAGGATATAGCTGTAGCATTTGCTGCCTTGCCTTTCTCGTCTGCCAGAAATTCATAAATTCTTCGCATTTATGCCAAAAATAAATTATCTTAATGCTAAATCAGTAACTGCCACACTCGCTACAATGAAGAATAGGCTCACGTCGGAGGTGCTTTCCACCGACACCAGCTAGACACTGATAGGGCCTGGTTACTCTCTTGCTACGACATAACGATATGTGTGCAATAACGGGTGGTGTGGCTGTTGATTTGCTCCGTCTACCCTACGAAGCAATGATATTTGTCCGATAAAAGGCAGAGTAAAAAGCAGACCCCTCCCTCCATGATAACTGCGCCGCACTGATCCCTCCCGTGTGGAAAGGGATCAGTGCAGAGACCTTGTATCTAGGTGGTGTTGCTTCCGCCCATCAAGGAGCATGCCATCCACCTGTGAGGACAGAGCTTTGTTACACAGCCATTGCTCCCTCTCACTTTCGTGAACTTTCGCTCTTTGAACAGAGCGGATGAGAGCTGCCCAAAATGTTTTATGCAGGGTAGTGCACACAAACTGTATACCTTTTGTGTACAGTTTGACAGGGCTTTTAATTTCAGTATTTTGACAAATTATCTTGAATTTTTTGGTTATTGAGCTGCACTTACCAAAAGTCACGGGCGTCTTATGGGAGCACAAAGTTAGTGCACCTTTTCGTGCTTTTGGGGCTTTCACATGCCACTGCTTGTGCCCCTCTTTTGTCTCAGCTTGCAGCCGAGCGCTGTTTTCGTTGAAATGCATTATGGCAATCGTAGTGCTGCAACATAATTAAAGCCGTTAATTCCTGAGTGTCTTAATCACCTTGTGTGAAAGCATGTTACTATATCTTTTTTGTGATGTCTGACAGCATTTGTTGGACTGTAAGCCACCGCAACTGTCATTGCTTGCAATGTTATTTTCAGGATTGTTATATATCCTTGCACCTTTAGGGTTCTTACCATGCAGCCATGCATTCGTAGGAAAACGCTGTTGATTTCGGTGCGAATCTGTTCAGAACGCTGTGAAACGACTCCAGGCCGTACGTTTGTGCGTGAGGCGACAGCTGCCTGACGTCCTTCAAAAACAGGGGTGCTGTAGCAATCGCCTTCAGCTTCTTGTGGGCAGCTGAGCCTGGAGGGATTTAAGCATTCAATGTGTACATTGCAATTTGATAGCAAACTTTTCCTTTTAGATGGTATTTGTTCACTTAGACATGTTCTCAGCATAAATTAATTTATTAACAAGTTCCATTGCACAAATGTTTGCGAGCTATGTATAATTAGGATTTATTTACGTAGAACTGTTTAGCACTGTAAACAGAATGCTCATATTAAAATTTTACAAGCCAGGCGCAATCCACTGTTTTTCACCGAGGTCCTTGTGCATGCACCGCGGGTAGACTGGACCGTGGCCCACGTGGACGTCACAGACATGGTTGGTGACGCTCAGCCACACTGCGGTGAGCAACTCCCCGTCGCCACCACTGGCATTTGTGCACCACCACAAGTGATTGCACACAGGGTTCACCCAATGTGTCAGATCTTTGCACCCTGCGGTCTTGCTTGCAGCAGTGAGCTTCTTCCTGAGTCCTGTACAGAGACAAGCACCGCAACCAAAATGCTTGCAGTCGTGATGCCCCCTTCCTGATGGCAAAGTTTCCACTCTGTGCAAGAAATCTGTATTTGGCTAGCAGATAGTGAATTAGCATGGCTGTGTACCATCTCATAAAGGGAAGAGGACACATTTAGTTTAACATTTTAGCTAGTCACAGAAACATTGCGATTAGAAGCTGCGCAATTAGAAATCATATTCTATGCTTTGAAAAGCTTTCGTATGAGGGCTCAGGTATTTTATTTCTCTTTGTGCTTGTCTAGATGGGATAGAATTATTATCAGCGGTCTCATTGAGAGCAGATAATCGATGGTAAGAACAGCATCAACCCTCTGGAAGGTTCAAGGTTCTGAGAAACTTAGCAAATGGACAGAATGTGCAAGTTGTTTTCATTATCTAAAAAAAAAAATTTCTTCTTTGGGATTACCTTTTACAGCATTCCACACATCAAACAGATGCAGGATTGTGGGCTCGTGTAGTCTCATGTGTGCCTTGATTGCAGAGTGTCTGTCAGTCGTGAAAGAGCGAATGATGACATCCCTCGACTTGAGGAACGCAATTTCACGGATACACCCCTCATTTTCCATCTTGCTGCTTGCGCTCGCCTCTGGACACTGAAAACAAAAGATGCGTATTGTACATTTACCAACAACTAGCTCGCAGATTGCAACTGCTATGAGGGTTTTTACCTCTTTGACTCGAACCAGTTCACTGGGAAGTATCTTGCCCAATTGGTTTGAATAGAAGCTGTAGGTTAGAAATTTTGCACTGTGTCCTGGGGAATCACATCGTCCGTCTCCAACAAGTCCATGGGCGCTCCTGAAAGCGCTGCCAGATGTTCATCTCTCTGGCTCTCCCAGACCTGGAACCACATGTTGAAAATGACATTTGTAACAATGAAATTAGAAAAAGGTGTATGTCAACCAGACCAGAATACCGTAAGATAATGACCGAGCAAGTGCCCACTCAAACTTTGAAGATAATCGCGAAAAAATGGGGGATGCGCGCAAGTGCGGTCATCAATTTTTCATATATATGTACTGTGCATATTTTTTAGATGTTACGAATTTTGGGGAAGGGTGCTTAGTGCGGCATGGGCGGATGCACGGTATTTTATCGTAGAGTGCAGCAGCTTTTTTGTATGCCAGAAAGCATAACGTGATGTTTTCCACTCCATATACATATATGCATGGAAGAAAAAATCAACTGAAAGGGGGCCTAATGCAGCTTGCACGGCCAAACAAATGTGATCACTCTAAAGAGGGCATGCTGCATTGTGTTGGGGTTGGTGCACAGCGAAAATTGGTGCTACTTAGGAAACTACATTACGACTGAAGCAGAAAAGATGTGCACTAACTGTTTGCACCGCAGGGAGGAGGTACGCTTCCTGGCACTCATGGAAAGTGCGTTCTGAGATGACCCGAAGGTTCATCAGCCGCATCATCCTGAGTGCTGGGGCAGGGCTTGAACCAGAGAACAGTATGCCAGCACAAAGATCAATGTTCCCAGCTGGCTTCCGTCCCACGTATGGCTGACTTGACCAAGAGTGCCGATCGCCATTGCAGCATTCCGTGAGAACAGTAAGGCAGCTCCCGCTCAAACTTAGTGATGGCTTGCAGGGTGCTAGACATGTTACGCACACCTTGAAACGTTCAAGCAGGCAGCTTTCATACACAATGTACTTGTTCTCCCCTTGTGGGTTGCCTTCATCGGTTTCCTCGTCCTCGCTGCAACAAAATATAACAGGGTTAAGTATAACCAGAATGGAGAAAATGTTATACATAATAAAGGCTCTCTTTAGGTTGCCGTTGTCAACTGGAACCCATCTTCTGTCATATTTTGCTGATGCTGCACAGGCTCTAATGATACAGAAGCGAAAGCACCATTGAAGACCGCATGGTCATACTAAGGCAAGGCACCCAAAACAGCTGACTAGTCATTCATCAGCTGTTGGTGGCTAGGAACACTTGGCTACTCTATTAAACAACCTATCACTTGCTGAAGGCCCTGTACTCACATTTCAAAACTCTTGTCGTACGATGGTTCATAGGCAGGGTCATATGTAGGATCATCGTTGTGGTACATGCTCGGTGGCTCTGAGGAAGGTGGTGAACTTGGGCGTTCACCAGTTAAGTCATCTTCTGGAGAGATGGTCGCAGCCTCTGGTCTGGGAAATTGGCTCAGGCTTCCAAATGGTTCGTGAGGTGGAGACGAGAGAATAAACTCTGATGGAAGCGGCACTTGCATGGAAGTTGGGGATGAGGTGCCATGAAGCCGGTCTAGGAGATCGCAGGCTTCGTCCATTGCAGATATATCTGTTTGCACTGCACGTGACACTCTTATGACCGTGTTCACTTGGACATCTGAAAAGGATGCAGGCCATTCGTAATCCCTGTGGCTGGCCCACACATATATTACAACCATTCACAATGAACTCAACACTTACATGCCGACCGAGTCTGCGGGCGTGTCTGTGTGAGCACCGAGAAAATTTTTCTTCGGACTTGTGTTGCTAGAGTCCTTGTCAGCCGTGGCTGCATCGACACAAAGAGAGAGTGATGACGGATCATAATTTCTGTTTATTGAACCGAGAAAACAAAATTGCGAATGCTACAAATAGGTATGACTGACCATGGTTGCGTTCCTCGGCTGGAGGCACGTGCTGCGGGACATGCAGTCCTCGCTGCTCGCATCCCGCAGGTAGTTTGATCGACAACCCCAACTTGATTCATGCTCATATACACAACAAAACTGATCACGCTGTTCGAGAAGCTCTGGGCTCAATTCGACACAACCCGATAGGGATCATGGATCATAATTTCTATTTATTGAACCGAGAAAACAAAATTGCGAATGCAAGAAATAGGTATGACTGACCATGGTTGCATTCTTCGGCTGGAGGCACGTGCCGTGGGACATGCAGTCCTCGCTGCTTGCATCCTGCAGGTAGTTTGATCGACAACCCCAACTTGATTCATGCTCATATACACAACAAAACTGACCCTGGGCTCAATTCGACACAACCAAATAGGGATCATGGATCATAATTTCTGTTTATTCAACCGAGAAAACAAAATTGCGAATGCTAGAAATAGGTATGACTGACCATGGTTGCGTTCCTCGGCTGGAGGCACGTGCTGTGGGACATGCAGTCCTCGCTGCTTGCATCCTGCAGGTAGTTTGATCGACAACCCCAACTTGATTCATGCTCATATACACAACAAAACAGATAACGCTGTTCGAGAAGCTCTGGGCTCAATTCGACACAACCCGATAGGGATCATGGATCATAATTTCTGTTTATTGAACCGAGAAAACAAAATTGCGAATGCTAGAAATAGGTATGACTGACAATGGTTGCGTTCCTCGGCTGGAGGCACGTGCTGCGGGACATGCAGTCCTCGCTGCTCCCATCCTGCAGGTAGTTTGATTGACAGCCCCAACCTGATTCATGCTCATATACACAACAAAACAGATAACGCTGTTCAAGAAGCTCTGGGCTCAATTCGACACAACCCGATAGGGATCATGGATCATAATTTCTGTTTATTGATCCGAGAAAACAAAATTGCGAATGTTAGAAATAGGTATGACTGACCATGGTTGTGCTCCTCGGCTGGAGGCACATGCTGGGGACTGCACAATCTTCATTGCTTGTGTCCTGGAGACAAATTATTTGGAAAAATTTACCTTGTGTGGGTCAAAAGGAAAAAACTAGAAATCTGGAATCATGATCAACTGCACAAATTGCTTTTCTGAAACCTAACAAAATAAACTCGTCACTTAACAAAAAAAAAACTCTTTTTATAATAGTTTTAGAGACCTGCAATCACTCTAGGCGCGCGCGAGAGCAGGCTTCAAAGTGGCAGTGCGAGCACCCGCTACACAAGCGTTGCCAGAAAATACGGTCCACGAAAACTCTCTGATATATAGTTTAAGTAGATCAAGTTTTTAGGCAACGCTCCTTGTAGCGGGAGCTCGTGCTGCCACTTCGAAGCGTGCTCTGAAGCGCAAGCACGGAGCGAAAGCGGAGGTAGCGGGCCTCTGAAAACGATCTACTAAAGCTCCCTATTGAGTGTTATAAGCGTAAACGTAATTGGCTGGCGGTCATGAGCAATTAGTTTGTCGCAGTGTCTAGCGTTACGTCAGACGGAACCCGAAATTAATTTAGTTACGTCCGACATAACTTTACCCCAAGATTTCGAGTTAGTCCGACGCAACGCAATATGAAAATTGAAAATACGTCCCCGGTCTCAGCAGCCCCGATACACGAGGTACACACTCCAGCCCCATCAACAAACCTGGAGGCACAGAGGGAGTCGCGACTTAAGCAATTAATGAATGCTGCATCGGACGTAACGAAGTAGTAATTCACGCTATTTTTGTATTTACGTCATGTATCGGCCGTAAAGCGTAACATTCAATAAGGCCGCGTGGGTGGGTTTGGGGCAAAGTTACGTAAGACGTAACTTTAATTTATATTTCTGGTTTAGTGGACGTAACGCTAAACACCGATTTTGATTTCGGGTTCCTGCGGACGTAACGCTAGACACTGCGTTAATATTCACTGCGCGAGATCGCACACTTACGATGATATGTAAAATCTCGTATGTTAATTGTATGAAAGACAGACACCATTTCAGCAGTGGCCACAGAGTTATTGAAATTAAGCAAATAATAATCAACACAGAAATACACTCACCGCTATTCGTCGCCGCTTCGGTGGGGACGGTGGGGACTCATCGCGCGGTGCAACGGAAGGGATAGCATCTTTCCTCAAACGGGGTCGCTTCGCACCTACGCCCAGACTCCGGCTAACCTGAAGGTTCTGTTCAAAGTCTCCTGACCGAAAATGCACCGAACAAATTCTGACGCCATCGCCGAGACCTCTGCGCAAGAGAAGGCTGTTCAACCAGAGGCTTTGCAATGCTTCATCGCTTGGGAGTAGGTCAAAACTAGAGTTGCCCGAACGATCACGGGTCTTCAGTCGACCGTTTGAACATCCTTCAACAGCGCACAAATTTGGCATGGCTACCGCTTTGCAGAATCCCTTGGGTGCCGTGTTCCTAAAGTGAACACGGCACCGCCACCTGAAACCAAAACCAAAAGTCTCCCGCGTGTGCCGCGCTGTGTTCTTTATTTTATGTGTTTTGTTTGCCCATAGTTGCTCGTTGCCAGTTTCGCGTGAAGTGTAGCAAATAGTAAAATAATTATGGTGTTTTATTAACGGTTTAGTTATTATTTTCGGTTCGATTTATAGTTTTTATGGTTATTCAAGTGGAATTAGAACAGTGTTCGTAAAAACCACGAACCAAAGCGAGACCGGGGGCACGTCTGTCGTTTCGACCAATTGCTGACGCGTCTCTAGTGACGACACGCTTCCAGGCCCCGCAGGGTCACGTGACCTCCGCTTCTGCTGGTTTCTCCCGCAACGCTCGGGGCGTCGCCTCGATCGATTCCGGTACGATTATCACCGCGACTGTTTAATTGATTTGCGCGGCACACAGGCTCCGGTTTCGGCTGAAATTTGGGCGACGTAGCCTGGAACGTTCCCGGAACCCAGTCCAATCACTAAAAAAATATTCATTGTCCCTTTAAGGCCCAGACTTTTTTCAAGCTGCACAAGACTCAACCCTGGTTGAATAAATCGCGAGATGTTGTGCTGCCACGTTCCGTTCTTATTCACCACTACACGAAAGGGCACCATGAACTCCTTCTAGGATACTGATCAATTCATTCGAATTCTTAAGGCCCAGACTTTCTTCAAGCTGCACACTATTCATCCCTGGTTGAATAAATTGCGAGATGGTGTGCTGCCACGTTCCGTTGTTATTCACCACTACACGAAAGGGCACCATGAACTCCTTCTAGGATACTGATCAATTCATTCAAATTCTTAAGGCCCAGACTTTTTTCAAGCTGCACAAGACTCAACCCTGGTTGAACAAATCGCGAGATGGTGTGCTGCCAATTTCCGTTCTTATTCACCACTACACGAAAGGGCACCATGAACTCCTAGGATACTGATCAATTCATTAGAATTCTTAAGGCCCAGACTTTCTTCAAGCTGCACACTATTCAACCCTGGTTGAATAAATTGCGAAATGGTGTGCTGCCACGTTCCGTTCTTATTCACCACAACACGAAAGGGCATCATGAACTCCTTCTAGGATACTGATCAATTCATTCGAATTCTTAAGGGCCAGGCTTTTTTCAAGCTGCACAAGACTCAACCCTGGTTGAATAAATCGCGAGATGGTGTGCTGCCACGTTTCGTTCTTATTCACCACTACACGAAAGGGCACCATGAACTCCTTCTAGGATACTGATCAATTCATTCGAATTCTTAAAGCCCAGACTTTCTTCAAGCTGCACACTATTCAACCCTGGTTGAATAAATTGCGAGATGGTGTGCTGCCACGTTCAGTTCTTATTCACCACTACACGAAAGGGCACCATGAACTCCTTCTAGGATACTGATCAATTCATTCGAATTCTTAAGGCCCAGACTTTTTTCAAGCTGCACAAGACTCAACCCTGGTTGAATAAATCGCGAGATGGTGTGCTGCCACGTTCCGTTCTTATTCACCACTACACGAAAGGGCACCACGAACTCCTTCTAGGTTACTGATCAATTCATTCGAATTCTTAAGGCCCAGATTTTCTTCAAGCTGCACACTATTCAACCCTGGTTGAATAAATTGCGAGATGGTGTGCTGCCACGTTCCGTTCTTATTCACCACTACACGAAAGGGCACCATGAACTCCTTCTAGGATACTGATCAATTCATTCGAATTCTTAAGGCCCAGACTTTTTTCAAGCTGCACAAGACTCAACCCTGGTTGAATAAATCGCGAGATGGCGTGCTGCCACGTTCCGTTCTTATTCACCACTACACGAAAGGGCACCATGAACTCCTTCTAGGCTACTGATCAATTCATTCGAATTCTTAAGGCCCAGACTTTCTTCAAGCTGCACACTATTCAACCCTGGTTGAATAAATTGCGAGATGGTGTGCTGCCACGTTCCATTCTTATTCACCACTACACGAAAGGGCACCATGAACTCCTTCTAGGATACTGAT